ATTTGATGACATAGATAGAAGTTTTCTGTTTTAGAAATCACAGCTGCCTTCTGTATTTCGCGACTTTTTGTGTTCAACTTTTCTTCACTTGACTGATGTGAAATTATAATGAATATTTACTACAAGCACCATCCCACCAAACCAAGCAGTAATTAGAAAAATTTATTAATCTCTCAAATTCTCAAAAATCTCTCTTTAATTAAACAGGATTAGGTCACCAATATTCCAAATGTTAAATCTTAAAACTTTGCAAAACAATATGTACAATAAAATTATAATAGATTGTAGTAGTTGTACCAAGAGGGTAAGGACGCAGAACAATAATGTAATGTTATGTATTTATTTTAATTAACCTTTACTTTACCATGCAAACCACTGAGAACCAAATCACGTACTGTGTTTGTCTAAGAGGAAAGACAGAAACAACAGAAAAACTAGAATTGGCTCTGCACAAAAATGACAAAATTGCAATAAATAAGTGCATTATATGACAGATCAGACTGCTTATTTCACTAAAACACATCAATGTATTTAAAGATTTGACTAAAACTCTTGTATAGTTTTATCTAGTTAAATGTAAACTTTATAATTTTACTTCGTGGTTGGACCCAGGCAGCAGATCTGTCAACATAGAGGTGATTCCATGTAAAAAACATAATGTGAACAAACCAAAACTTGTCTAAAGTGAACAATAGTTATGGTTAAACTAATAAAAATAAATTACATCACTGTTATTTAGTTAAATGAAAGTCTAAACTTCCAGAAAATGTCTTCCTTGTATGTAAATCGTCCCTGCGTTTTGGATGGATTGTGTCGTCCCAAACTGCTTCTTGACTGATGTAACGTGCACTTAAATGTCAGAGCGTCTGTGTTCACTTGAGGACAGTTGTACGCTCGTCCATTATGTGATTGATTCACTGTTTAACTGCTCATTTAATCAGCACATTACTCAATTCAAAAGCCATTAGCATTAGCCGGAGCTCAGCGGAGTGTTAAAGGGACCATATTACGCCATTTTCTCATCTGTGTTAGAATGTCGTTTCCTCGTCAAAAACGAACCTGGAGTTGTGGTTTTGTTTCATTCACACACGTTTAACACACAGATCCTGCATATTTAGAGTTATTAAGAGTTCTCTCATACAGAAAACACTTTATTCCACCTTGTGATGTCATGTGGTGATACAGGAACTGTGTTTTTAAGCTTCATTTCATCCCTGGAATTGCCAATCTCTTCTGAACTAAAGGTAAAAGGAGCTGTTAACTTGAAAACTACGGGTTCATGACATCACAAGGTGGACCGGAGCATTTTGAGCTTTGGAGATGTAGACAGACTAATAATAAAGGGTTACTTAAACGTGTGAATGAAACAAAACACAACTCCAGGTTTGTTTTTGATGAAATAACAACAATATAGCATGACTTAAAGCTCATAAGAGTCAATTTTGCTTATTAAAAAACCTTTTCGAATCAAAATCACAGGTATAGGCGATATAATGTTCACAAAATAATAATGAAATAGATTATTACTAGGTCTAGAGAAACAAAAACATGCAAAAATAACATACAAAAATAATACAGTCTTCCAAACAATGTGATATTTCTGCACATATTACACAATTCTTTAACCTCAACCACTGCGGCGCCACTCAGTCAAATGCAGAGGACACATGACCTTACGGAGACAAAACGAAGCTCTGTAATTGACTAAAGAAATTCTCGGTGGACTGGATAATGTTCTTCTGATTAATTAGTTGACTATAAACAAATCTATTTGGTACCATGTCTGACCTAAACTGCCCTCACAACTGCTCTGGAGTTCATGCAAAAACTACAAATCATGCAGAAAAAAGTACCAGGAAACGATGTGTGTGAGTTTAATCTGCCTTTCACACATAAATACCAAGAAATACCACGGTACGATACATATCTCCATCAGTGTTGGGAAGGTGACTTTTAAAATGTATTCCCCTACAGATTACAGATTACATACCTCAAAATTTAGTTTGTAACATAATTCACTAAATTACTTAAAGTGAGTAATATAATCTGAATACTTTGGATTACTTGATTTGCTGTAGAGAAGAAAAGACGAGGAAATCTTCACATTGTTTTCTAAAAGAAAATGAAAAGGCCGAGTCTTTAAAAATATCATTGATAGAAGAGGAGGAGACACAGTCCGCGCAGCATGGTTTAGTCCTGTTAAATCCTGGTTTAGACCTGGTTTAGTCCTGGTTTTAGTCCTTGTTTAGTCCTGGTTTAGTCATGATTTTAGTCCTTGTTTAGTCCTGGTTTTAGTCCTGGTTTTAGTCCTGGTTTAGTCCTGGTTTTAGTCCTGGTTTAGTCCTGGTTTAGTCCTGGTTTTAGTCCTGGTTTAGTCCTGGTTTAGTCCTGGTTTAGACCTGGTTTAGTCCTGGTTTAGTCCTTGTTTTAGTCCTTGTTTAGTCATGATTTTAGTCCTTGTTTAGTCCTGGTTTTAGTCCTGGTTTAGTCCTGGTTTTAGTCCTGGTTTAGTCCTGGTTTAGTCCTGGTTTTAGTCCTGGTTTAGTCCTGGTTTAGTCCTGGTTTTAGGTTTAGTCCTGGTTTAGTCCTGGTTTTAGTCCTGGTTTAGTCCTGGTTTAGTCCTGGTTTTAGTCCTGGTTTAGTCCTGGTTTTAGTCCTGGTTTAGACCTGGTTTAGTCCTGGTTTTAGTCCTTGTTTAGTCCTTGTTTAGTCATGATTTTAGTCCTTGTTTAGTCCTGGTTTTAGTCCTGGTTTAGTCCTGGTTTTAGTCCTGGTTTAGTCCTGGTTTAGTCCTGGTTTTAGTCCTGGTTTAGTCCTGGTTTTAGTCCTGGTTTAGTCCTGGTTTTAGTCCTGGTTTAGTCCTGGTTTAGTCCTGGTTTTAGTCCTGGTTTAGTCCTTGTTTAATCCTGGTTTAGATCTAGTTTAGACCTGGTTTTAGACCTGGGTTTAGACCTGGTTTTAGACCTGGGTTTAGACCTGGATTAGTGTCCGGCAATGAGTGGAATTACCAAGAAAAAAAAGGGGGGGGGGGGATATAGCCCCAAATGAGAAAACAGGAAAATACCGCAATGTAATCCATTTATTTCAACAAAGTAACTGTAATCCAATTACCACTCACTGAAACAGTAACTGTAACTGAATACAGTTACTCATAATTTGTACTCTGATTACGTAACTCCTGTACATGTAATCTGTTACTCCCCAACACTGATCTCGATACAGTGCACTTTTGAACGTTTCAGATCGATTCGACACGGCCGGGGTGTCAAACTCAAATTCACAGAGGCCAAAATTAAAAACTGGGACTAAGTCATGGGCAAAACTAAATATTTACAGAAAAATTTCAACAACACCTACCATAACAAGTTTACTTATAAAGCACTTAAAAACTTTACAGTACGCCAAAGTGCTGTACACAAACACAGGACAGTAGTAGAAGAAAATATATGGTACACATACAATACAGCTACTAAAAACACAGACAAACAGTAAAATACTCAACAAGAAATATACATGTCACTTATTAAAAGCCAGTGAAAAAAGGTACGTTTTTCGGAGTGATTAGGAACACCTGCATGTTTCTCTTCTTTCGAGATATGTAATGTTGAACCTTTTCTTATTAAAGTAAATGTTTAATAATAGTTTTGCTTAAACATTGAATCCAGAACAAGCAAAATATAAAATAATAACAAAATTTTAAATAAATAATGTCTCTATAGTTTATCTGTAGTCAGCGGGAAGGTCTAATACATATATGACCTCATGGGCCAAATATAATTATATCGCGGGCCAAATTTGGCTCCCGGGCCTGAATTTGACATGTCTGCGATATGGTTTAATAAAAAATATCATAGCTGTGATACTAAAAGTCTTTGTTAAACCGCTTCCTCTGCAAAGTTCATATGAAGCGCAAATATTTTACTCATCAAAACAGTGAAAATGTCAAATGTGCTGCATAAACAAGTTTTCTTCTTCTAAACAAGCAACAAAACTGTAGCTCTGTAACAAAATAATTTAGTAAAATATACCAAAAAAATACTCTTGGCGAAATAACAATACAAGCCAATGATATTGATACTGTATCATCACGTTAAACGATACGATATTTTGATATTTTTGCACATCTCTTTTCACTCTCCTCATAGAAATCTGTATAATCTAAACAAAATGATACGTGACAAATACAAATTTTGGCCAACTGAGAGACGAAGAGAAGAAGTTGCCGATACGATACATACCTCGATACACAGGCCACGATACGATACGCTTTTCAATACAGTGCACTTTTGATTCAATACAATTCGATATGATATATTTCAAATCGATTCAATACGATTCAGTGAAAAACAAAGGCTAAATCGTGGCTGATTCGAAAAGTCTTTATTAAACCACGAAGTCTGTGCAAAATTAATCTGAAAAACATTATTCAAAAGTGTGAAAATATCAATACAGCTGTAGTTCTTACACAAAATAATTGAGTAAAATATACCTAAAAATACTCTTGGCGATATATCGATACAGCAGCCCACGATATCGATACTGCATCATCACATTAAACGATACGAAATATCGATAATTCCATATTTTTGCACACCCCTAGAGAGACCATCGACCATTTAATCACACTAAAATAAAAATGACTAAAAACCTACAGCTCTACGTTGCACCAGGGCAAGTTAGACGAGATCTGTGGAAAGGCAGTACAAATGTTGACAAGAGAGTGCCAGAGCCCGACACCACGAGAAGAGTTTTGTTTTTGTTGCACTACAGTGACATCGTTTAATTGGTCAATATGGCCGTCCCGCTTTCACTGTCGCCGGTTTCCCAGAGTGGAGACAGGACTTCGGTGATGACTTAGCTACAGGCCCTGCAGGTTTGTGTGTACCTTGAGGGTAGGGATGTGTGTCAGATTCCCCGCAGAACAAACATTGCTAATGTCACCGTGAATATTCATTTGACTGAGCATGTGCGGTGGCTTCCTATACGTCCGTGGAAGTTTGCAAAGTAGATGAGGAGAGGGAGTTTGACTTGCAAAAGAGCACTTGGCTTCTGTTGCGTTATAGGATTACAGGGTAGGACCGAGCACACCTATGTCTCTAAAGGGAAAATGACAAGTTACACTCTGGATTTTATTTGATCTGCGACTTCTAATACGTTTTTATGTTTTTTATTTTATTTTAGTAACTCTGTTGACAAGCTGGTGACAGTGTCTAAACGGCGCCACCATGGGAGAAATGGAGGAATTGAGGAAAGAGGCGGAAAGTCTAAAGGATCAGATCACTGTAAGTACAATTTCTGTGTTTTGTTTAGTCCTGTGATTTGTGAAATGTGTTTTAAAATCAAGATTCAGCTCACGTTGCGCGTTTAAAACACCTCCAAGAACGTTAAGATTTGAGAGAAAATTGAAATATAATTACTTAACTAAATTAATATAAGAATCCCTTGCATTTGAGAACATGTTTGTAGACGTACAGGGTTAGTAGGTTTTGTAGATGTTTTGTAACCCTAAGACCCCAGGATCAGGTCTGTGAATCTCTTACTGTTTTCATTTGGTTGCGTTTGCTGCACTGAAAAACATGTGTCCTTACTGTGAGTGGGCTTGCATCTCCACAAACCTGGCTTGTCTCTATGGAAATGTTGTTCCTTTGGTTATAATCTTCTACAGTATTTCATAAAACGTGTCTATCTCCATGGACAATGTTTCGAAGAATGGCTTATGTGCTGTCTCCAGAGTTTAGAAGAGTTTACTGAATTTTGCTCATCAATCAATTTATCAGTCAGTCTTCCCACTGGCACTATTACATTTACATTTGTCCCTCATTTTCTTCTTATAAAACATTAAAAACAGATAAAGTTGTATCTCTGTGTTCCTGAGTAAGTCCTGTGTTTTTGTTTGCTTGCTGCAGGCGGCTCGTAAGGCAGTCCAGGACACTACGCTACAGGAGGCGACGGCTTCCATCTCGGTGGTGGGGCGTGTTCAAATGAAGACCAGAAAAACACTGAGAGGGCACCTGGCCAAGATCTACGCCGTGCACTGGGCCACGGATTCAAAGTAAAAACTACTTTGCATAACTCATTTAGTTCTGCGTAAGGAACTTGATACTTACAGGAGACATGTCATGCAAAATTGGATTTCATAAGCTTCTAACTTATAATTAATATTAAAAATGTTGTTCTCTTGTTGATAATTTACTCACTAGTGTATTCAGACTGATCCGTGTGTGTCCTGTACTGTTTTCACCTACCCCCCATCTCTGCCAAACTCCCTGTATTTATTAGTGTTTATTCAATGAAATCCAGACTCCAGATCATGTAGGGTTACAAAATGTCACAAAACTATTTTTCCAAAAAGCCTTTTTTAATCCTGTTGTGTTTTTGCACCAGGCTGTGTGTTAGCGCCTCACAAGATGGAAAACTCATTGTGTGGGACACAATTACAACCAACAAGGTAAGAAAATAATAATAATGCATCAGTTTTATACAAGCGCTTTTCTGGACACTCAAAGACGCTTCACAGAGCATTATTTATTCACTCCACGCTCAGTGGTGGTAAGCTTATAGTAGCCACAGCTGCCCTGGGACAGACTGACAGAAGTGAGGCTGTAAATCTGCGCCATCTGCCCCTCCGCCCACCACCAACACTCACGCACACACACCATTTTCATACTAGGCAATGTGGGTGAAGTGTCTTGCCTAAGGACACAACAACAATTTTTACGACTGGCCCCACTGTGGCACCTGATTTTCCCAGTGTCTCTCATCCAAGTCCTGACCAGGCCCGGCCCTGTTGATCTTTTGAGATCTGACGAGATCAGACAAGCCGCTGTGGCCTCTAAAACACCTGTACATGTTATGTGTAGATGTTAAAATGACTTTGACTGAAACAAATTTGTACAAGTGATCATCTCCAGTTTTTTTCAATTATTACCCTACTCAGTAACAAATTGTTGCAATAGAAAAAGACAATGAATTTACTTCTGTTATATATAATAATATATAATGTGTGTGCTTGTTCTGTTGCTCAAAGCATGGAGCAAAACCCCTTTTGTGGTTACACAGCCTTTTAAAACATATTTTAAACAGTTATCAATTGTCAGCCAAATAATCCTGATGATTATGATGATTTTGATGTTTTTGCCTAGACAAAAATTGTATCAGCAAAAACATTTATTATAAAAACCAACTCTGACTCTAGCAGTTTATAATTACACTTTTAAAAAAAAGCCTAAAATGTGGTTCTTCTTGTGTATTTCTGGTGTTTTAGGTGAATGCGATCCCGCTGAAGTCGTCGTGGGTCATGACCTGTGCCTATGCGCCTTCAGGGAACCTGGTGGCCTGTGGAGGTCTGGACAACATGTGCTCCATCTACAACCTGAAAGGGAAAGACGGCAACGTGAAGGTGATGAGGGAGCTGATCGCACACAACGGTGAGTCATGAAATTTTAAAAACAAGATCAAGATTCACTTTTCTCTAATCAACAATGATGCTTGGGTAGAACGAAATTAAATGGGACTAGATTTTGTTTTAAATAACAATTATTAATGTTGAAAGCAACTTTTTTTTGTGATATTGCTCTGCCCTACTGTTGTACCTATGGGACTGTTACATGATTGTTACTCTTGGGTTCATCTGAATTCCAACCTTGTTTACTATAATGGCTTTTTGGCAGATTTAAATTATTTTGACTCACTACAGGAACAATGGCATTTTATATTTCTTGTGAAAATATTATACATGATTGAATTGTTTTGTTCTGCAGTGAGACAAGGGAGTAGAGAGACAGTTTTGAACCTGATCATTCTCTGTGTTCAGTTTATAAAAAGCCTTTTGTGTGTTTGTAGGATACCTCTCCTGCTGTCGGTTCCTCAGCGACAGTGAAATCATCACCAGCTCTGGAGACTGCACCTGGTAAGAAGACAAAAACATCTATACAAACAGGGTGACCACATGCAGCAACATTAAATAACATTATGGATTTTATTACAATTGTATGTGTATTACTTTTATCTATTATCTATAATATTTCTATTCAGGTTTTCATGTTTTTTTATATACTTTTTATTGTGATAAATGTTTATGATGGCTTTATATCAGCCAAATTAGTGAAGAAAAGTTTTAAAAAGTTGAAAATGACAGAAATAGCTTTGAGTTCTAAATGGGAATCTGTATAATCAATCCCCTCCAAGAAATCCATCAAACATGCAGGGATTTCAAGATTTCAAATAATAACATCATAATAAAAGAAATCATGATAATTACGTCTGATTGAAATATTTCCGCTCTTACCTCAGTATGCTCTGGGACATTGAGACCGGGACCATAAAGACCACGTACGCCGGGCACCAGGGCGACTGCATGTCTCTGGCCGTGTCTCCAGACTTTAACTTCTTCATCTCTGGAGCCTGTGACTTCACGGCCAAACTGTGGGACATCAGAGAGGCCCAGTGCAGACAGACGTTTGCAGGACACGAGAGCGACATCAACGCCATCGGGGTGAGGAGCCACATGCACTGTAAAAAACAACAAATAAACAACAACAACAACAACAACACAGATTTAAGTTACAGTGAGGGTTAAATATAGCCAGGCTGGCGCCCCCTAGTGCCTCTGCTCAATTTATTTCTCTCCAGCGACTAGGTCAGGAATCAGAATACACTAGACGATTTGCAAAAACCCCGGAAGTGCGAGTTCAGGCACCAGCCAATCAGCGAAGAGTGATATATTCAGTGTTTGCAATGATTCTCAAGATCGAGGATTTAAAGCCAGAACAAAGAGAATGTTTGGTGAATTTTATCAAAGGGAAAGATGCTATTGTTCTTCTTCCTACGGGATTTGGAAAAAGTTTAATTACATTACATACATCACGATCAAATAGCAGCGATTGGTTAAATTAAAAAAAGTACCTGCCTACCGTCGAGCGAACGAATCCTAATACTGCAAGGTCAGACGGGTTGTACGAAGTGAAACGAAGTAAAACCGGCTGATGAATCAGTCTAGGTTAAATAAGAGCATCTAGATAAATTACAATGGTTTGATGACGACCAAGTATCGTGTTTGTGTGTTGTTTAGATTGGTCAGTTCAGTTGATTTTACATGTGCAGTGAAAAACAATAAACAAAAAATGCAAGATTTGGTTTATTGTTAATCACAACATGGATTTATAACAGCTCCATAATAAAAAAACAAGTCCAATAACTTCTGAAAAATGGTTATGCGGCAATATGAAGCCCACCAAGTATTGCCTTGAATCAAAATTTTTTAATAATCATAAGCACAGAGCAGCGACTGAAGCACGGATTAGTCAAAATACAACTTTGAGTAAACAAACTGTGAGGAAATCTGTAACATAGTTCGGTAGGAATGCACCGATTCAGCTTGTTCCAGTTCAATTCACATTTCGATATTTTAGCTTTAATTATCTGCCCATACCAAATATCAACCGATACCACTCTGGAGACTGAAAACTTATTTCTTAAAATAAAACAAAACTCAAGTAACTATAAAACAACATTGTATAAACAAAAATCCTAACATTATAAGGCTATTTGGGCGAACCAGTAAATAGTTTTTTTACATCAGTTTATATGTCCAATCAGGATATCAGCTGAACCGATATTTGGTAGTCGGTGTATTCAATACCAGTATTTAATCAGTACATCCCTACTGAAAAGCTCACGATTGTTCCTTTTAATATAATAACATTAATTTGTCATTTTCTCTCCAGTTCTTTCCAAATGGTAACGCAGTGATCACAGGGTCCGATGACGCCACCTGTAAACTGTACGACCTGCGCGCCGACCAGGAGCTCATCACGTACCAGGACAGCAGCATCATGTGTGGAGTCACCTCTCTGGCGCCCTCTAAGTCCGGGAGGCTCATTCTGGCCGGATACGACGACTTCAACGTCAACATCTGGGACACACTGAAGGCGGAGAGAGTGGGTGAGTACTGAGCCGAGGAACTACAGAACATGCATCTACCCAGAATGATTTGTTTTCTTGTAACCAGTCAGAAAACCCATGAAACAAGTTAAATATTCAACATCGTAGCTCCAATTAAGTTATGAGTGTGAGATGTTAGAGGGGCCAATGGTGCAGCACTAAGCTCTGTAAAACTGAGGTAAAATAAAGTGTGATTTAGAAGTTGCCGATACGATACAGACCTTGATACATGGGCCACAATATGATACATATCTGGATACAGTGAGCTTACGATTTGATAAGATTCGATACGAGATATTTCAATTCAATTCGATATGGTTCAGTAAAAAAATAAAGGCTAAATCATGGCTGTGATGCTAAAAAAAAAAAACGCTTCTTGTGCAAAGTGAATACGAAACACAAACATTTTAATGATCAAAATAGTGAAAATGTCAAATGTGTCGCATAAAAGTGTTTCCTTCCTCTGAACAAGCGACAAAACTGTAGCTCTATGACAAAATAATTTAGTAAAAAACACTCTTGGCGATATATATATATATATTGATACAGCAGCCCACGATATCGATACTGTATCATCACATTAAACAATACGATATATCAATATTTCAGTATTTCTGCACACCCCTATTTGTGATGCTACAAATTTAGTGATCAAAGTGTCTCAAAACTGGACATTTGTCTGATGTCCCAGACTCAGAGCCTCCAACGTTCAAAAATAAAGTAGGAAAGACTGGCTCAAAAAAGCGAAAAGTGTCTGGTTGCTAGAAAAATATCATCAGTATTATCAGTTGTGGAGTGAATGAACAATTAAACATGAGCTTCTTTGTGTGTCCAGAACAGCACTATATAAATCAAATGTATTATTACTATTTAAATGTTTTTATAAGTACATTTAAGAATATAAAAACAAATTAAAATGAGCTATTCATTAGGGATGTAACAATAACCAAAATATCATATATCATATCGTCAAAGTCTCACAATAGCACCTTGGGCTGTCACAATATATCGAATTACAAAATCCTTGGAAACTACATATCCCATGATTCATTTCAGCGCAGACAACATGACGAAATGTTTTTACTTGAATTCTTGGGATTATGTCGGTAATAATTCACATCATAAACTTGTCAGGGTATTTTAAAAGCAAAAAAGTGTCCTATCTACAATTATATCAGCTTCTCTAAAATATCGCAATAAATATCGTACCGTGAGATGCATATTGTGATAATATCGTACCGAGAGATTTGGATATCATCACATCCCTACTATTCATGGGTTGAGGCCTTTTCCAATTCAGAAGATACAATATTTTAGTTTTAAATCAGAGCTACACCATGTCTTACACGATGTTTGAACTCTTTTCTGTGTATTATTTTTTTCAGGTGTTTTGGCCGGACATGACAACAGAGTGAGCTGTATCGGGGTGTCTGCTGACGGGATGGCCTGCTGCACGGGCTCCTGGGACAACTTCCTGAAAATATGGAACTGAGCCCGCTCCAAAACCCAACACAGATCCGGATCTACGTTTAGAGGAGTGGGAAAAAGAAGCCACAGGTTAAACAGAGAGAGGATGGTATTTTGTTGTTGTGCCAAGTCCTTGCAGTCAGATTATTTAACCAATATCTGCTCTATTTTGGCAATAATGACTTAGGTAGCGACTATATGCAGGGATACAAAAACATTTCATTAACGTTGTCCATTTGCGAGGTAAATATGTACAAATACTGATACACAATTGTAAAGCTGGTGTGTTGATAATTAAAGGTGCACTATGTAACTGCTTGTCTCCATGAAGATGCTTTCCCTGATGTTCCACAGTTAAGTAAAATACCTCAAAAACATGGGTTCTTACTGAGAGCAGGGTCGCTTCTCCACATACCTGACTTGTAACTAGAATCACCTGCTTGGGAGATAGATTTAGGCGACGTTTAAATGACGACGGTCTGAGCAGAAGACGCAAAAGTGCCGTCGCATCTTCACGTTTTATTCCGCGTTTAGACGAGCATTTTCGGGAGGAAATCTGCGTGCATACGGTGACGCAAACGTGTGTGGAATTTAATTGTGTATGCATGCCAGGCGAGTAGGTATGTGACGTAAACATGTACGCGACGTGAGCAGATCTGACCAGAGTTTTGCGTCTTGGGCAGTGTAGACGGAAACTCTACGGCGGAGTGTTTTCAGCTTTTCCGCTCTGGAGGGTGGTTTCAGATTTTTGCGTTTTTAAGCCACAAAAACGCCGTCACCGTCTAAACGAAAGGCACTTCCGATAAAATATTTTGTCGTTTTTAACCTGCAAGCGTTCTTATAATAATGCCATTCTGTGGAACATCGCATACAAAGAATAACATCTCCATCGAGACAAGAAAGTGAAGTACCCTCCAACAGAAAAGTGACATAGTGTACTTTTAAATGCGTAAATTTAGGTGGTTCAGTACTTTGCAGTCTGTTCAATCAGAAATGAGTTTTTTTGAAAGAGGTTGTAGTACCATTTGTAAACCAGGGGGCGCACTGCATAAAGAAATTCCTTTTAATGACTTCAGAAACGTGAAAACAGTTGCCAAATTGGTATGGTAGCACACTGAATGACTTTAAAGCGAATGGGTGTATAATGTAGTTTCACTGTAGTTATTCTAATGTTTTGTATGAAAATGTGATTGAGTTTTATTTGCTTTTTATTTAATTACTTTTGTTAGTGTAGGTTAAAAGGAATCTTATTTTCAAAGGAGTTAGTTACAAGAAAAAATATTTAATCTTGCATTTATTTATTAAACGCCTTTCTGGAATATAAAGGACCCTTCAACAACAAATATAGTACATGGAGGGGTAGAAGGTTTTCTTCTCTATTTTGGGGAAATTGCTCAAAAGATATCCTATGCATTACTACATTAAAGTCCTTCTCTCTTTTAAAAAATAAAAAGTGTAAACTTATTCTAAAAGCAAGAGCACAATCTCAAATACTGTATGTAACTGACTACTAGACATGTTAAATAAATTCAACTAATAAAAAAAATTGTGTCAGTCTTCAATTTCTCATTAAAATGACTTTTTATACTATGCAATATTTAGTCTCGTCTCAAAAATTCAGCCTCATCGCACTGCACAACTTGAATCATGTAGTATATTTATAGTCGATACGCGAATTTACAATTGAACAGGACACATTTTCATCACTTAAACTTCAATCTAGTCAAAAACGACCCAAGCTATTCAAGATCAACAATCCTGGGGAGTGAGTTTTACAAAATACATTCAAGATACAACACGTCTGTACACATTAATTTATTTAAGTTGATAGAAAAAGTAAAAGGGATAATAGTATACAGAGGAAAGAACATTACAAACAGATAAAACTGTACAAATAAAAGCTTGTTTTAAAAGAACAATACTTTTCAATCATCTGTTTTCCTTGTCTACAGCGATGGCCAAAACTCTGCGTTCGCTGTGGGCACTTCTGCGCCTTTCTGGAGTGGACACCTTCAGCTTCATCTGAAAAGACGAGCAATTTTAGACATGACGTGAGCTGGCGGTCACAATGGTGTTAAATGACATGACGACCTTATGTAGAGTCAAAACATACATGTCTTATCTTTAAAGATTAATTTACACAAACAGATCTGACATAATATGTGCAAACAGACATCACAGGCCCATGATGTTTGCTGAAACCTTTTGTGCAAACTGTTCTGTCCCTTGGCAAAACACTTTACCCACCTTAACTGTGTATATGTTTGTAATAATTTTGTATTATAAGCATTCAATGGTCCAAAAAGTCACGTGCGTTTTGTGTATACAATCTCGTCCAGGTAGAATCCAATGCAAAAGGAGAAATTAAATTTGTCAACTGGGCAAAAGTTTAGTGAAAAGTTAAGTTTAGTGTCTTATATTTGTCTGAAGGGAGGAGCTCTCCCAAAACTAACACCCTGCTTGTTTTAGTGTAGTCCGCTCCTCCCTTCAGACAGATATAAGGCAGTGTTTGACCAGAACTGAAGAAGCAGCTTGGATGAACTGTGAAACTTATTCAACCAAATAAACTTTTGTCCAGTTGACAAATGGAATTTCTCCTTTGTCACTTGTGTTTTGTTTCATCTCTCCATCCTGATCTATTCATTTTGACAGCACAATACCTGAGGATGCTGCCCCCGAGGTGAGTTGGTCTCTTTGAGGATTTGTAATGGAGAGCGACCTTCATTACCTGGAATCACAAAAATTGTATAGGATATATAAAAAATATTTAAAAAACAAGAAAGTTTACAATATAGAGGTGGGAGATATTGCAAAATTACGTACTACACTTGACAATTACACAATTACCTCACAACACTTTTGTAATCCAGAAGAAATTAGTATGTAAATAGCTTGTTCTAAATTCTGTCATCAATTTGTGGAAAACTCAGTGAGCCAAAGCACAACAGGATCTAATTAATGTCAGGGAATCAACAGTTTAAATTAATGCAATGCTCAAAAAATATGCCATTTCATTTTAATAATCTTTCTGGTCAATTTCTGGTTGACCATTTTCACGCTTAAGATTAAAACTTTTCTGCATTGTTATTGGCACATCTCTTCCACCTCAATAACAATGGGCGCTATAAACATACCTTTGGACTTCGCTTTTCCAGTCTGTCCTTTATTCTCATTGGCCACCTTCTTCACAGCCACGTGGAGCGCGAGAGGCGAGGACCCCCCTTTCCCTCCCTGTGCTCGGACCCTCTGCCCCGCTCCCCCAAACCCTTTACCCAACCACTGAGGTTTAAACACGATCTGACTGGGGCTTTTTGAGTCAATGGTGGGGCAGCGGATGTGATTTGGACGTGGGCTGGGGGCAGTCGTTTGAGATTTGGACTCTTGTGGTGCAGTAGGCTCTTGGACCATTTCTACCTCCTTTGTTTTTTCTGGTAAACTAGGTGCTACCTCTTCTGGCTGACTAGATATTTTAGAGATCATGGCTGCGTCGTTTGCATTCTCGTCATTAGGAATACTTTGCACAACGGGAGACTTGACTGTAATACAAGGAGCTGCGTACGAGTGATCCTCTTTAATCAGAGGTTTCGTGTCGCCACACTCAATGTTCGCAAAGCTATCGTTGCTTCCATCTTCGTAAAATTGTGACGAAGTGGAGCCCTCGTGGCAAGCTATAAGACTCAAACTCAGCCTCTTGTGAATAGGAGTTTCCCTGGCTTCCTCCGCCTCCTCTAGACTGATATCTGGTTCAGTTTCGAGCTCTACCTCAAACTGGGGATCTGCGAGGTGAACAAATGGGCTTGTTGTGATTTGGGGAGGGGGTAGCTGAGGCGTGTCTAACATCGTGGCGTGGGTATCCAGGGAGTCGAGGATGTCAGAGGGTTGTGGGGTCAGGAGTGGCTCTGTGGTCGCGATCTCCTCTGGTTTGGAGTTTTCCTCCTCCTCTTCCTCTGCTGTTGCGGTTTTGGAGTTGTTCTGGTGGGTCTTATTCTCAAGATCATTGTTGAAGAAGATGCCCAAACGGCGGGCAAAACTGCCAACTGTAGCTGTAAGAGCAAAAGAAATTCTGGTAAACCAACAATATTTTTGTACAATCTCTATAGAAGTGAAAATATTTTAAAAAGGAAATAAATTTAATTTTAATGTAATCTAAATGAACATGTAGATTGGATCCAAAAGTATTTAGCAGTTCATGCTCCACATTTAACATTGTATAACACAGTGCACATAACAGATTAAGTGGCACCCTATTCCACAGTGCATTATTCTTTAATGTTAAGTCTTTTTGCCATTTTCTACTTTATTTTGACTTCGCTTAACATCTAACCCTAACCCTTTGTTATTATATTGCAATGTGTGAGCTACTGTCAAAGTAATTTCACAAGTGGATAAAGTGGGGGGAAAAAAAAAACATCAATCAAGTTTTGCCATTTCTCAGAATCATGCACATAATATCTTCCTTTGCGTAATTCCAAGTGCAAATGTTCTGATAGGATAGGGGCTGCAGCAGTTACCTCTCATGACCTCTCTGGCTGGAGTTCGAGTGATGCCGACTGAAGGAGAGCGAGGATCTGTGTCTGCCACAGGACAAACTCTTTTCACCTCAGCAGAACTTTTAGCATCATCACCAACCTGAAATAAAACACAAAGGAAGGGTATCAAGATCTACACTCAAGTACTGTGACTGCAAAATAGCATTCTGGCTTCAGTATTTAAGGTGATATTCAGTCTGTGTGAGAGTGTAAGTTATAGGTGGTCAAAGGGGCTTTCCTTCCATTTGTTTGGAAACATTTGTTCAAGTTGTACAAGTTTTGTTGAAGTATCCAAAGTACAAACAATCCATTGAACAAGTCAGCCTGCTCAGTGTTCAAATGTGTAACCAATTTTGCTTTCCACCTCAGTTATTCATCACTAAAACCCTTCATTAGTACCTGGATTGGAGTGCGGTCGATGCCCACAGATGGAGAGCGGGGGTCCAGCAGCTCGTGCACTCTCGTCGCTTTAAATGGGAGCTCGGGCTTGGTCTCTGGAGGCGCCACGGCCAGTTTGCTCTCACTCGATCCCATGGTGTGAAACTGCAAGATTAATCCAAGTGTATTAGTATTAGTGTATTTAACCAGATTTTCAAAATTGAAAACTGGGACACACCCGGGTTGGGATGTTAGGTATAAGTAAAATTGTGAAAAGACTGTAACATTGTCCATTCTTGACTCACATGTGCGTTAGTATAAAATCTAAGGGATGTTTTTTGGTGCATTTTTCACTTTATGGCCATTTTCAAGCACTTTTATGTACTTTAGCTAAACAAATGACAGTATATCCTTCTATTTACTGTTGGTGGGGATCAGACTGGTCAAAAACAGGGACAATTGAGACATTTCTTGTAAAACTGGGACAAATCACTGGTTTTGGATAAATCTGCTGGGACGTCTGGTCACACTACACAATAATGATTTGCAAAGCCACTCTAGCCTTTCTAACACTTCCTGAATTATTGTTTTAAACTCTCAAAGTTCAGTAAAATACAAACAAGGAACTGGAACAACTATGTGAACTAATACATCAGCTGAATAATTAGCAGCTCATTAAATTCAGAAAATAAATAATCTATAGTTAGGGGAGGTTAATATTAAAATTAAAACATGTTCAGACAAATACATTAGAAATATTATTTAAATAAAAAAAAAACAAAAAAAACATGTGGGTTACGTTAGCTCGCCACTTCACAAAAAAAAAAAAAACGTGGCATTTTGACCGTGTTTAAGTTTGTTTATTTGTACAGCATAGAAATTACAAACCTTGAATTCAAAGGGATGTCCTAGCTGTTAAATAGTTAAGAGAGAAGAGCTAACAATGCAATATTTGTGTTTATCTTCCACACGAAACACGGAGATATTAGTAAGATTACGTTAGAAAGTTCGCGTTAGTTGTTGTAAAGTGCCCAAATAACAAATATCGCCATCGTCAATACAGATAACACTAAGTCTTTTCAGCAATATAAGCTTACCTTTCGTATAAAACCTTGTAGACTTGTAAAAAAGAGTGAATCCTTCGCAGTAAAAGCACACCTCTGTTCCGCGACACTGAAGGACGAACATTTAAAACATTTAAATGGCGGCGCTGCATCCGTGTTATTTTTGAATTGGCCAATCAGCGCACGGCTTCAACCCGCCTTCCCTGTTCTGATTGGCTGAGAGGACCAAAGTGGGCGGTGCATATGCGCAGATAAATTTGAAAGTTGAAAATGCATCATACACGCCTGTTTTTATGACATTTGTTTTCACTTTATCATTTGAAAGAAGGAATTGTTTATTTTTATAGGCCGTTTAACCGTTTTTCTTTAAAAGTTAACATATGCATTGCTATTAATTTCGCCTTGAATTTTCATTATTATTATTTTTTTCATATTTGTACTGACGGTGTACCGTTACCGTATTTTTCTGTTTTGTGATAATTCTGTTTTCACTTTTTTTTTTTTACTTTACTGTAATAGAATGACATTAGCCCTCTAATTCAATATTAATTAGGTTACAGATGTATTGCTATTTAATTCACCTTGAATTATCTGTTATCTTTTTTTTCTTTCTTTTTTTTCCCAAATTTGTACCGTTTTCATATTTTTCAGTTTTTATGAGATTTCTGTTTTCACTTTACCATTTGAAAGCAGGAATTGTTTATAGGCCTTTTTTTCCCCTTTAGAAGGTTACAGATGTATTGGTATTTATTTCACCTTGAATTTATTATTATTATTTTATTATTTTTTACTGTTTTGGTTTTGTATTGTATGTTTTATATTTCTGTTTTCACTTTACCATTTGAAAGCAGGAATTGTTTATTTTTATAGGTGACCATAACCGTTTGTACCTTTTTTTTTTTTTTCTTTAAAAAAAAAAAATGTAATTAACCCTCTATTTCAGCATTTAATCATTTGGAGATTACAGATGTATTTGTATTTATTTCACCTTGATTTTTTGATTGAAATTTTTGCTTATACTTCATATTTTACTGTTGTAACACTGAAATTTCTCCACTGCTGGACCATTTATATACCATTCTCACAGTACCTTGTGAGCTGCTGTTAAAATAGGGTGACCAGATTTTCAAAATAAAAGACTGGGACATCCCTGGTTTGTACAACGAGTGCGTAATTAAGGAAAATTGTTATGCATTCAGCATTAATGTGAGTCAGTATAGTCATATTTTCTTTGTGTTCTGGTCATTTTTAAGCAGCTTTTCTGTATTTTACCTAAACAATGAGAATTTACACCTCTTTACTGTTGGCAGGGATCAGATTGGTAAAAAATAGGGACACCTGGGACATTTCTTGTATAAAACTGGGAAAAATCACTGGTTTTGTATAAATCTGCTGGGCTCAAAACTGGGACTGTGCTGAGTAAATAGGGACATCTGGTCACCGTATGTTAAAATGAAATTAAAAATGACATCTAAATCAACATTTTATTGCTGAATAGTATAATAAACATTGTTGTCAGGACGGAAATGACCTGAAAACAATAGTGCAGCAAGTTGTTACAACAATACACATCATCGCATAACATGATAATGAAGCAAAAATGCTTTACAAGAGCAATATATGAAAAATTGGGAGACCTAATTACAAAACAATTACCTCAACATTGTAACACATTGCAATTTCTTCCCAAAAGCGTATAAATTAAACACAGCCACATATCAATTAATAACAGTCTGGTTTTGGCTGAAATAATTAGGAAAACAAATGATTAAAATCTGAAAATGTTCACACTTGTATGAACAGTGTACGATGTGATTAGTGTCTTTGCGTCATCGATTTACAGCTGTATCAAAATCTCTCCAGTAACAATATTGTACTTACCGTTAGAGAAAAGAGGGTGGGCACCTGTCAGTACTGCCCTTAACCACAACATTTATTATTTAGTTCCTTGTTGATTCTGTTTACGTTCTTCATTGAGGATTTGTTAAACGGCTGTATCAGGTGTGCAAGGATCCGAGGAGAGACCAAACACAAAACATAAGCTTATGATCACAGTGAGTTCCAGGTTCTTTTCATTTTTCTTCTTTCACAAGAGTTTAGGCTCCGTTCAAACTCGTCTTGGTTTAGTCCTGGTTTGGGTCTAGTTCAGTCCTGATACAGACCTGGTTTTGTCCTGTTCTAGTCCTGGTTTAGTCCCATTTTAGGGTCCATTTTGATGTATGGTGTGTGTGCTAGAGTGAAATACATTCCTCCCCTTTTCACTGTTTAAATCTGAGTTTAGTTCTAATTATGATACGCAATTACCCTTTTCTTCTGCACACAAGCTTTTAAGGTGTTCATGCGTCCTAGTTTGAGCACAGTTTAGTTTTGGTCTAGTCCCGGTCTAGTCTAGATTTAGATCTTTAGAGTTAGATCTCCTGGTCTCCTAGTCTAGGTTTAGATCGTTCAGTTCCAGTTTTGTTCTACCGTATTTCCGCAATATAGGGCGTACTTAAAAGCCTTTAATTTCATCAAAAAATGACTTATAATCCAGAGCGCCTTATGTATGAATTTATTGGGGTGTCTTAGTACGACTTTAGTAAACTACAAAGCCACACCACTTGCATCATTACGGAACCCGCAGTCAGGAGCATCGTGGAGTAATACATACTGTGATTCCTTTTAATATCAAAATGCACCTGTCAAGAGACACGTTTACAATGCCAACTTTAAACTCAAAGCTGTTATAAAGTTAAAATGTGAGCTGTGTGGGAGCAGTGGATGAGAGAAGGAGAACACACATTCACCAAGACAGGGAGACAGCGGATAATGACGAGAGGGATGTGGGTGTGCTGGACGCCGTAATCGCCCAACTGTTTGAACAATTATGAGTTATTGTGAATACACTAACAATTTAGCGTCTCAGACAGTATTTTTTTTTACACGTTACAACTGAACAAAGTTGAGAGTTATTGTGAACGTGTTAAATAAAGTTTGACTGACTTATCTAACTGTTGTGTTTCGTTTAATGCGCCTTATAATCCGGTGCGGTTTATGTGAAAAAAGTTTTTTAAAAAATCAACCATTCAATGACAGTGCGCCTTATAATCCAGAGCGCCCTATAGTGCGGAAAATACGGTCATTTTGATACGTTGTGCGTGTATAGTTATGAATAAATCCCTAGCCTTTCCTTTGCTTCACAAGCTTTAAAGGCTGTGTCTAGTCTAGTCTCTGGCCTAGATCTGGTTTAGCCCAGTTCTGGTCTAGTCCTGGTCTAGTCCTAGTCCCAGTCCTTTCTTCTGCTCCAAACCTTTACAATCATGATGATCCTGGACCGAGTACCCAAACATTTTCCACTGAATAAAACACATTCGCACTCAATTGTCCCTCCTCTCTTTAGTCCTCATTCGGGCGCTCCCTCCACCTCTCTCTGACAGAAGTGAGCGAGCAGAGTGTCCAAGTCCCTCTTGTCTGCCGCTCCATACAGCGAGCTTTCTCCCATCATGCTCAGGGCCATGCGCAGAGTGGACCAGATGTTGTCGGACATGAGGGCAGCTGCAGCCACCCCGGGCCCCCGCGCTGCTCTGGCCCCATCCTCGGCCGCTTGTCTCTGCAGCGACAGAGCCTCCAGGAAGTGCTCCACCGCTTCTCTGAAAATAAAACAGCAAGAGCAAGCAGTCAGAATACAGTTTAACCCGGTCTGTGATTACCATTCATTATAGCATTTGGATAATTGTACGTTTGTGGTCTCGGCAATCATTTTTATCTTTTTTTTTAATTTTTATTTTCCCTTAGTTTTTGATAAAATTATAGTACATTTGCAATTTCTCTACTCATTCTCACACACAAAACATTCACACAATCAAGACAGGACAAAATGCAGATATATGTACAATACCTTTATTATCAATCAATATATTTTTTATTTCCTTTTAAATGCGAATAACGCACAAAGACTAATTTACTCAGGATTGAAGTAGTTTAACGGATGCTAGCCCTAAAATCTGTTAGTTACATAGTGAAAATAACGGCATAAGGACTTTAAAGAGACATTAAACACCCTCCTGAAGCTTTACTCTGCGGGGGCGGGCTCTGGAGCTATGATTGACAGCCGACTGACAGCCACAACAATCCAACACATCGCGGACCGGTGCGCTCCAGACTTTGAAACAGAGCGGATGTTTGTGCTCGGATCAGGCCGTTTCTCTTTTCTCCAGACACGGTGGGACATGTTGGTGCCCGGCTGTGCCAGTAGCGGGCGGGGCTGAGAGGGGCTCCTCATGTACAGCTGGTAAACGCGATTGGCTGTGCTCATCTGACTCATTGGCGGCCGTTAGTCCAACCCAAAAATTCAAATGTACTGATGGTAGTTGATCCTAAAAAGGCCGTTACAGACACAGGTTTTGGCCCAAAAGTCAGATTTTTAACAAATATGTGCTAAAATGCCAAAATAAGGCCAGGGAGTAGGGCATACATTTCTATTTTAGACCCATTTACACCAGCCTGATTCATCAGCCTGTCTGACCTTGTAGCATTAGGATTCGTTCGCTTGACAGTAGGTGGGTACTTTTTTATTTAACCAATTGCTGCTATTTGGTCATGATGTATGTAATGCGCTGCTAACAGGGATAACTGGTATATTAAGCTTTTCCCAAATCCCGTAGGAAGAAGGGCAATAACGTCTTTCCCCTTGGTAAAATTCACCAAACATTCTCTTTAAATCCTCGATCTTGGGAATCATTGCCAACACAGAATGTATGGCTCTTCGCTGATTGGCCGGTGCGCGGTCTACAACTTTCAGCGTTCTTGCAAACCACCTAGTGTATTCTAATTCCTGATCTAGTCACTGGAGAAAAATTAAATTAAGCGGAGGCACTAGGTGGCGCCAGCCTGGCTACATTTGCACAGCTAATTAGTAGAAAAAGTTGATTTTTGGTGTTTAGTGGACCTTTAAAAACTGCAGAGAGTAAATTTTTTGGATTACTACTGGATTACATTCTGCTGAGATAAACATTTGAGGTCACAAGATATTAAAAAATAATGACTAAACCAGAAACATCCACACATACTGTATATATTGTGACAAGGGAACAACACAATTTCCTTTTATGTTGTCGCCTTTTAGCAAATTACAGGTTTTCTATTTGATTAAAGCTGGCAGCAATTACAGCTGCACACAGTAGATTTACCTGTGCGCGCCTAAGTTGACACAGCTGATTCCCAGGTTGTAGCGACTGCGGACGAATCCCGGCTGCAGCTCGAGCGCTCTTCTGTACGCAGCCACCGCCTCCTCTGATCGACTCCCGTTGGCAAGAGTCGCTCCCAGTTTATTCCACAAGAGGTAGTCCTGTTTCAGAGGGACACAAGAGTCGGAATTGGTAAAGCTAAACCTTTATTTTCCTCACAACGGGGAAATTAGTGTCACAGCGCAAAGTTCAAGAACAGAAGAGAATAAAAACATGCAATCAGAAATAAAATAAATTCTACTATATGACAAACAGCTGGAAAATTGTATTGAATTTGTGAATTGTAAATCTTTAGAGATGCTCTTGCTTTGCCCGGAACATTCTGCAGTTTAGCATTTGGCAAATTAAGTAGTAACGGCTGCAGCTGTTTAGAATCATTTGCATATAACAACATAAACTGTATCTATGGGATTTTAATGTGTATACAATTTATAACCCAGGCCTGTAGTTTTAACACCTGCTCAAAAATACATAATTAGTTTCTCAGTTAATTTTTCAGTCTTTCTCAAATGCTGAGAGGTGTTCAGAACGTCTACTCTAAAATGAAGTTAATGTGGTAATATAACAAATATAACAGATTGAGGAGCAGGACCACACCTCAACATCCGACTGCTCCTCTACAACAAACCACAGTTCACCGCAGCCACACCTGTAATTTCCTAGAGGCCCTGTTTATTCAAATCTATATCAACAACAGTCTGTCCCTAGAACCCTGTTTGTACAGCTCTATCCCAACAACACACTCAGTTTTGTTCTAGTAGAAAAAACTGAGGCACTCAAAAAGTACAAAATAATTAAAAGCGTTTAATACCAAATGGCAGATAAAGTTAAAATCACACCAACGGGTTTCAGACTTTTCATCAGGACAAACTCGAGATAGAGATCACAGTGCAGATTTAAAGTCATAGGCGTAGGTCACATGTTCACAGTGGGCTGGCTCACAGTCCCCTGGTGCATGATGGGACATGTAGGCTGAACAGATTGTAGTTACAAGCTATTTAAAATAAGATATAATACAAGATATAAAAGTACAGTTCCCAACAACCAATACATAGAAAGACACATAGTATAATTGTGTAATTACAGCAAAGCAAAGATGAATAAGATCAAGGTGGCATATAATGATGCTCTCAGAATTCTGCTAAAGACTCCAAGGTGGGAAAGTGCTAGTGCTTTGTTTGTGACTGCAAATATTCCCACATTCCAGGCTCTAATGAGGAACCTTGTGTATAAATTTATGTGTAGGTTAAATTAATCAAGAAATGGAATTACAACATGCTTGACTGATATTAAGGAAAGTGACATTAATTTTATTCTGACATCTGGAAATATTGGAAGAGCCAGCTGTATGTATTTTAACTCTATGGACCTTGCGTCACTGTAGGTTTTTTTCTTTTTGTGTGTGTGTGTGTGTGTGTGCTGGTGGGTTTATATATGAATGTAATGTATTGTGGGTGTGTGTCTATCTGTATACGGTTTGGACCTCGAGTCTGTAAATAAAGTTATATATATAAAAATATATATTGTGCAAAAATGTATAGTATAAATTGTTATTTTATTGTGATGTGTGAGTTACTATGTCTAAATAATTTCGCTTGTGGCTCAATAAAGTTTGTCAAAGTCTAAGTCCAAGTCTCTGCTCTCACTCTGTTTCTCTTGTTATATCTTTCAGCCTGAAGACCTGAGACAGAGCGCCTATCCTGAGTCTCTGCACAGCCAATAAATATCAATAAATATCTTTATTATATACTTTTGTTGTGCTGCGGTCCTTGTGAATGAACTGAATCTTGATTTCAAAAGAGTGCACAAAAATCTAAAGTTAAAAAACAGATTAACAGATTAACAATGTTTTAAAATCAAGTTTTTATCATTTGCGGCTTTTATCTAAAGTTAAACCTTTTTTATCTTTTAAACTATTTGAACAAATTATGCACGCTTTTATTTCATCACGCCTGGACGACTGTAATGCACTTTATTCCGGCATTTCGCAAAACGCACTTTACCGACTACAGTTCGTCCAAAATTCTGCAGCGCGACTTTTAACAGGAACAAAAAGGAGAGAAGAGCACATCACCCCAATCCTTGCATCTTTGCACTGGCTCCCTGTTAATTTTAGAATTGATTTTAAGATTTTATTGTTTGTTTTTAAAGCTTTGAATGGACTGGCTCCACAGTACATCTCGGACCTCATCCAAATTTATACCCCTGCGCTCTGAGGTCCGAGGTCCAGCTCCAGCTCAGGGCCTAAGACGAGACTTAAAACCAGGAGGACAGGAGCTTCTCTGTGGTCGGCCCTAAACTCTGGAACGATCTGCCGCTTCACGTTCGAGCAGCTCCACAGTGGAGAGTTTTAAATCTCGTCTGAAGACCCACTTTTATTCTCTGGCTTTTAACACCGCGTGAGTTGTGTGGTCCTCTGTGTCTTTTATTTATTTTTATGTGTTTTTATTGGTTTTACTGATTTTAATTTATTTATTGGTTTATTTATTTCTAGTCTATGATATAGTTTTATTTTTATTTTACTGGTTTTATATTATTTTACTAGTTTTATTACTTTGAGACTAGTATTATTTTAGTAATTTACTTTATCATCTTATTGTTGTTATTTTTTATGTATTTGTGCAGCACTTTGGAAACAGTTTATTTATATAGCACATTACACAAACAAAGTGGATTGGATTGGATTGGAAAAAAAGAAAAAAAAAAAAACGGCAAATGATCTTTTCCCCACATGATTTCAGCTCAAACTCACTTGCTGATCCAGAGTCTGTGTGCACTGACCTGTGGAGTAACAGAGAGCGCAGCACTGAAACAGTCCACAGCTTTGTCGTATTCTCCGCTCAGGTTAAACAGCACACCGAGCCCACACTGCAGCTGAGGGTCCACCTCCGACGGGTTAGAGTTGGCGGCCTGGAGGTACAAAGACTGCACCTCTGTAAACAGGGATCTGAAGAGGAGGAGAAGGAAACTTAAGTGCAAGTCATGAGATGTCCTACTCTACTTTTTTGATAATACAAGCTTTACTATATGCCTTTTACTTTTGTAATTTTAGCAAAATCCACTCAGTTACTTTTAAAACATAAATTAGACTTCTTGAGTAAAGGAAATTTATTTTGAAAAATGTTAACCTATTATTATCCTATTGACCTACCTAGTCATTTTATTGATTCACATTATAAAAGCCACAGAAGCGGGGCAGAAAAAGTGCCCATTCAACAGAATTTCATTAATAGTTTTTTTTTTCTTTCTATCTACATATTTTTTGTCCTGAATAGACGCTCACTCTGGCAGCAGGGAACCGAACCTCTCCCTCTCTTTGTCCTTGTCTCTGGCTCCATTCTTCTGCTGCTCTCGTTCACTCTGGTCCCAAATGGCTCTGTATTTGGGGTTGTGTTTGAGCCAGTCTCTTAGAGTCTCACAGGCCTGTTTATGCAGAGACTCATTTGTGAAGCTCACAGCCAGGGCCATGAGAGCCGTCAGGTTGTCATTCTTCAACTCAATACACCTAAAGACAAACATCGTCAGTGAGTTTCTGCATTAAATATAGTAAAATAAGTGTGATGTTTACATTTTCCTGATGGTAAATCCACTGAAAATCCTACTTTGTGAATTATGTAGGGTTTGAAGCTGCTTTTCAGAGAGTCTAGCATTGGCATTTCACATTTTACAGCATAAAATTACAGTACAGAGATGCCCAAAAGTTTTTCCTCCGCAGGATAAAATGATTACATATTAGCGTGCCAAGACCCAAACCTATGAATGTTTTTCTTGTAAAAGGTTTGTCTGACATTTAAAATAAAAATGCCTTTAATTATTGTGGTTTTGTACAGGGGTAGACTATGATGGGCTCCCTCATCTCCTGACAATCTTTTCAGCACAAGACTGAATCAAAACAACAGTTCTTAGAAATATCTGCACCCCCTCAACAACAAAATGATTTATTACGATCCCTATTAGTGGTAGACAAAGGCCAGCTAGTCTTCCTGAGGTCCTTTTTAAAACACTTTATTAATTTTATAAAGACATGTCTTAAAAAACTGTATATAAGAACACAGAAACAGTTTGAATTGAATTGATTATTATATTAAAAAGTAAATATCTTAATTATGCAGTGGGCAATTCATCCTTCCATGTGATTATAATTTAAAAAAATCATTATTTCATTCTCAGTGAATCTTCAATCATCGTTTGACCTACAGCAGGCATGTCCAAACTACGGCCTGTGGGCCAAATGTGGCCCTCAGACAAATTTTTCTTGACCCTCAGGCTTCCAGGTGAATTGGCCCAAATTACCTTGCATCAATTAAAAATTTACTTTTTACTGCAAATTTGTTGAAAATCTACCTTGATAAAGCTAATATTTCATATTTAGTGTTTGGTTTTAAGGATCTTTGCATGAATAAAGTCTAATAGCTCATTCTAATGCGATAAACTTGCACATATTTCAATTATTCACTGTATTAAGGACCAGTCTACTTCATCTGTGTTTAGATATGTGGCCCTTGATGAAAAAAGTTTGGACACCCCTGACCTACAGGTTCCACTTTAGACACCCCTGTAACCCTGTAACCAAACTCTGATTTGTGCAGATAAAGCTCCATGCGGCTGTTGAGTCTAGTGAAGGTGACTTATAAACTCATACATGTCAGGTATATTTTTGAAGAGGACATTACTTTACACGCTGGCAAAAAGCTCAGTGTAGAATAACACAGGACATGCAAAGTTGTAACCCTGGTGTAACTTTCACTCGTATCACTTTCCCTCACCTGCGGAGGGCGCTGATGGCTGCAAACTCCTGCTCATTCTCAGCTTGACATGTCCCCAGATATTGCCAAGCCTAACGGTAAAACAAAATGCATTACACAATCAAAGTATTTAGTAATATTCCATAATTCTGTAACCTGAACAGTCCTCACCAGCTGATTGTCTGGTTCTTTCTGTACTGCACTTTCGAAAAAGCGGACGGCTCCAGGTATGTCGCCCGCCTCCATCCTCTTCACGCCCTCTGACAAAGGGTCGGGGTGGGATAAATATGGATTGTCCTCCTCAAACTGGTATCCCTGATGAAGACAAAAGAACAATATACTTAATTAATGTTGCATTATAATACAGTAAGTTGCATTCGCGTGTAAAGAACAGAAGAATAATAAAGAATGAATATGGTTTAATGGAGGACAAAGGAGATTTCTTTGGTGGAATTGGCTATTAAACTATTAAATCAGGCAGCAAAGTTTGAGGTTTTTCCTATTGTATGATTTATTTACTGAATTACCACAAAAAGTTGTGCAATCCAGTTTGTTTTGGACATGGAGTTTTGCATTTTTCCGTATTCATTTTATTAGCCAAGTCTCATGTTTGCAATAAAATACTCGTTGCCATCTCATCATTTTGTTTTGCTTCAGAATTATTTTAGATTTAATAGGAAAAAGTAGAAAGTTCATGTGTGTGTAGTGTAAGTATTTATTTATTTTTATTATTTATGTTTATTAAGGACATCACAATCGCATTAGACGAGCCAGATGCATTAAGTGCTTTGAGTGTTTTAGCACAAGTTCTAGTTTTCAACACCTGTCCGTATAAAAATATAAACTACGTGCACCAAAACAGACAATACAAGACACATAAGTTACAAACAGATACAATATTTACAGTAGATTTTTAGTGGATGCATTTTTGATTGGAAACATACAATAATTTTAATTTACTTCCACAATCTTTGTTCCAGAGTCTTAGTCTTTGGTCCCAGTCCGGTCTTATTTTTATACAGATAATGATAAAGTGAACGTAGCTGTTTTTAGGTTTATTTATAGGTATTCTGTCCCAAAATAGAGATGTTACCTTGTCGTAGGAGGAGCTGAGGATTTGATCAAAGTCTGACAGCCAGGGATGACTCTCTGCATCCCTCTTGGCCATTTCCTCCCACTCCTCCTGCAGCTTCTCCCAGAAATCCACATCACTCTGAGAAGAAAACGTTAAATTTAAGATATTTACAGGAAAATCAAACTTTCTCTGTGATTACGTCACATAAACTTAACTTTAAACAACAAGAGAAGAAAGCATCTAGGCCAGGGGTGTCAAACATATGGCCCGGGGGCCAGATCCGGCCCTCCAAGACCTTTAATCTGGCCCTTGGCTGATTTTCTACTAAAATATTTTAATTATATTTTTATTAAAATATTGGTCATTTTCTGCATCGCTGAGCACAGCAGAATCTCCAGTGTCTCTGTACGTGGCCCCTCCCACCAGAGCAGCACAAATGAAGACTTGTCTCTTTCCAAACGCTCTTAAAGGACGATCGTTTTGACTGTTGACCGTGACACCCTCAAAAATAGCATTTTTCTTAAAGTTTCAGGTTGTTCATAATATTATAATATTTTGTAAAAGAAAGAGTTCATCAATTAAAAAGATTTCTGTAATAAATTTGCGTTTCTCTGCACAAATATTTGAACTTATTGCTATTTTTGGGGTTTATATGCCATGAGTTTTCTGATCCGGCCCCTTTGTGACCAAAGTAGGCTGGATATGGGCCCCGGACCAAAATGAGTTTGACACCCCTGATCTAGGCTTATTTTTTTGGAGTATAGATTGAATGGAAAAGAGTTGCTTCTACAAGGCTTAAGATGAACATTTCTTCAGTTCTTACATAGTTATATTGTGACTTGATCCTGAGCCGGGACATTGCGATGTTACATTACCGTTGAAGTTATTTTTATTTACCTCGACTGCTGCTTTGGCCTGTTGGAAATCTGGCCCTGCTGTAGCAAACTCGTCCACCCAGGCCTCTGCTGACTCTTCGGAAACCTGATCACAGAGAAATGAAAGATTAGCCAGTGTCCAGTGTCAGGCTGATATTAAAGTTGTTTTTCTGGATCGAAAATATCATCATGAGGTTAAATTTAGAAGGGCATGAACAGAAAGCGATGAAAATGAAATGAAATGAGACTTTTTAAACTAAAATTTTACTCTTGCAAAATGTAAAATCCACATGTTTTGACCTGGTTTGTGGTCCAAAAAAATCTCCTCATTCTCACTCCAAAATAACTAAAGTAAAGTAACATTTAAAAGGTGCACAAACGCCACACTGCTCGTTTCTACGGAGATGCTGTTGCTTTGCCTAAAATGTACCAAAGTAAATCTATCTATCTCCATGTGGACAAGCGTGTCACAGGTCAGATCTGTGAAGAGGCGAGCCCACTCACAGTACAAATGTATGTATTTTCGAATCATAAAAACACCTGCAATTCACTAAATATAAAGATAGATAAGTTTAATGCTGCACTGTGGAACATTCCAGGTAAAGCTTAACATCTCTATGAAGACCAGCAGGTAGCAGACCCCCACAAGAAAAGTTAAACAGAGTTAAGTTTCAAAAAGTAATATTATTGATGTATTAAAAATTGAGGAGAAAACAGAAAAACTTAATGATACTGTGACGTATTTCAGCTTTATTTTCGCTCCTACCTGCCTGACGACCTTTGCCCACTTCTCTGCCTGTTTAGCTTTATCTTTCTCAATGGTCTCGTCCCTCTCTGGAGGCTCAAGAGGAAGACTGCCTCCTCCTGTTTGGGCCAGGAACTACAATGGCGAAGTGTAAGGAGCAAGGTGGGGGTATCGGGACAGTGTTCGGTGAAGTAGGACGGATAAAGTAGGAGCAATTGAAAACAGCAGGAGAGCAGACGGATGGAGCTGTTAATTGGTGAAATGACACGCCACGTTCAAGAGCAGGTCAAATAATGGGAACATATTCAACTCAAAAGCTGCACTTGGTATTAAAATGAGGCCGTGCGATCAATCTGACTTCAGACTTTGGAGGAATACATTTGACTATTTTAGTTTTAAATGGTACTAATTAAAAGTCTGTAATGTTTTTGTTATGCATTTGTTTTTAATAAAGACACTAGACAACTGAATCCAAAATCGTGACTGATTAAATGAGGAAAACAGATTCATTTTTGGATTTATCGCCTCTTATCGCTGACAAGTTACAACTATATTTTTACTTGTACATGGTCTTGAAGATTTTAAGCTGTTCAATAACCAAAAAGTTTCAGCTCTACTTGTCAAGTGCAATTGATTCCACCTTTAACAATACATTTTACTTTAATACTTTGATAATAATTCATATTTATCTACTCTCATCATTAGAGCTTTCTCCAAAATACACTTACATGGCATCAAAACCTTTCTGAAGAATTGTTTTATGCAGCAGAAACTGTTGGGGAAGTGTAGTAAGAGTTTTCCTATGTGGTAACTTGTACTCTCTTGTTGTGAGGGTTTTGTATATTATATTATCCTCCTGAGACCTGCCACATTCATCTGTGTCCTTTATAGTGGACATTGTTTTGAGATAGACTCTTGATGAAGGAATTAGGTTACTCTGCCGAAATAGGGCTGGAGGATTATATCATATCCAGGATAAAAAATTTACTCAGTAGGAGTTAGTTTGTGGCTGCATTATAATTAAAAAAATAAAAAATTGAGTTCAGACTTTGGAGGAATAAATTTGAATTTTTTTTTTTTTTTTAATGGTACTAATTAAAACTTACAGGTAAATCATGACTGATTAATATGAGGCATTTTTGGATTTATCGCCTCTTATTGCTGACAAGTTACAAATAATTTTTAACTTGTACATTGTCTTTAGGATTTTTGAATAGTGTTTTGAGTCTTAATTAGAAACTAGAAAGTGTTAATTTGAAACTCTTAATGGGGGGACTAGGTTCCTCTGCCTAAATAGGACTGGACGATTATAGGGTATGTCCAGGATAAAAAATGAACTCAGTAGGAATTAGTTTGTGGCTGCACTATGATTTTAAGAAATTAAAAGGGAGTCAAAAAACTGACTTCAGAAGCTTGTCAGAGATGCTGGTCATCAAAAAAGTTGTTTTCTTTAGATGGATTTAACACCAAAACGTCTGCGGTGTCCATTACAGAGGACATGTTATAAAATTATCAATAAAAATAAAATTAACAAAATCTAAATGCTAAGGTGTTCATTTACTTCCAAATATAAAAATCACAATATATATATATATATAAATATTGCAATACAATTTTTTTCTTTGGGTCCCAGGAGGATACGTTAAAAACAGCAAAACACTTCTATTAAATCATGATATTTGCAGATTAATAATTGTTTTGTACAGTGCAGCTTCTAGTTAAACCCAGGGCAGTACACACTGTAGGGGAAGTGTACTAATAGTTTTCCAGTGTGCTCCCTTGTGCCCCCTGGTGGTGAGGGCATTGACCCGTACCTGGTTGAAGCTGGAGGCCCAGTTCTGAGCCTCCTTGGCCTGAGCTTTATCTGTGAGATGTTTGTCTGTGCTGCTCTCCACTGTCACACTGCCCTCCCCAATCTGCCTAACGAAGCGCAGGAACTAAAGCCACAATGACAAATGACAAGACAGAAATTATGAGAGAAGAATGTGAACAGAACCATTTGAAAAGATGATCAACAAAAAGAACCCACATTTACGGACAATTTAAATACTTCAAGGGTGCGTTCACACTGTATTTATTTCTGTACACTGATGTATTGATGTACATAAATATATCAAACTACAGACTGTAAGCAACATCACCAACATCACTCCATGGAATAAAAAGTTAACCGCAAAATCTGGAACATTCTGAATGGAGATATATGCAAATCTGTGGAAGATTGTAGCCTAAGGAACGATATTTCCACAGTAAGGTGACATGTTTTTTAAGGCTACGTTCAGACTGCAGGGCTTAATGCTCAATTCCGATTTTTTTGTGAAATCCGATGTTTTTGCGAGGTCGTTCACATTTCCAATTAAATGCGACTTGTATGTGACTCCAGTGTGAACTTTAAACGGCCCAAAAGTGTCCCACATGTGCACTGGAGAACATGACGACGTTAACCTGCAGCGAGCGTCTCTGTGTTTACGGAAGTTGTCCAAACATGGACGCGAGCATCGAGCACCTGGAGATTTTAAAGTTTCTCTTGTACCGGAGCCAGAACATGAACAACAAGGAGGAGATTGAGAAAGAGAAGGACGAGGTTTATGGCGTTTTGTGGGACAGTCCGTTGAAAGGAACGTGTGGATGTGGAGACGTAGCCAAGAGTGGTGAGTGGTGATGTGCTTCGCTTCAGTGACGCGGAGTTCATTAACAATTTTCACCTACTTCAGCGTAGAATAGTGACGTTTGTGGCTTGTTGATCACATGTAGGTGGATGAATGCGCTTTGACCGTTCAGACTGAAGTCGCATGTCAAAAGATCAGATATGTATCGGTTTTAGGAGCACATATCCAAGTGTCCTGGGTCATATTTGAAAAAAAATCGGATCTGTGTCGTTCAGACTGTCATTAAAAGATCAGATACAGGTCACATAGGGGCCAAAAAAATCAGATTTGGGTCACTTCAGGCTGCAGTCTGAACGAAGCCTAAGATGCAACAAAGCCAGAAACTAAACCTGGACTAGAAAAGCAACAAACGAAGTCTACACCAGGACTAAACTGGGCTCAAACCAGGACTAAATGAGTAAAAGTGTAAACACACCCTGAATTACACCCACTGTTCTAAAAAATAAAATAAAATAAAAATGAACATGCAAGTTATAATAAGAACATTGACTGGCGTTTTAAATGATGTAAAAGTTGCTAATGTTGACAATTTTTGTTTAGTTTCTTAATTTCAGTATCCAAAAGAACCACAATTCAAAGAAAGCTGACAAATGAAAAGAAAAATGAAATGGTAAAAAGTCACAAACAGTCACATATTTTCCAGAGAAACTCACCTCTGTGTTTTGTAATTTAGGGTCGTCAACTTTGGCAACAAGTTCATTTGCTGCTTGCCTCAAATCTTCTGCTTGATATTCTTTTGTCCTGTTAGAAAAAGATAAAAAACACAAATGGAAAAAAAACACCATAACACTACACAGATTCATCCACTTGAACTCAGCAGCAGACAGCCGACATATTATGACCTCAAGAGCTGCTTATACAATATATGTTCTAGGGTAAGATTAATCTGCTCAAATACATGGGAAAAAAAAACATTTTACATCACAATGTCAACTCTGTCTATTGCAGTATGAATTCTACGTTCATGGACACCCCATACGTGTCTCTTTATAAAAACTTTGTGCAAGGTGCGTGCATATGCATATACCGACACTATAAATCTTAAAGTTTAATGCCAGCAAGTTACAGTTTTAGCTTCTGAGAGAAACACATTTATCTTACTCTAACTGGTCTTAAAATTCTCACCACTCGCTCTCCTTGTCTCCCAGGTCTCCCAGCCACAGCTTCTCCTCAGACTGCTCCAGATACTCCTCAGCCCAGCGTCCCGGATCTAGGGCAAAAAAATGTTGTAAAGCTACACAGAAAAGCACTGTTGTTGACTAAATAAATTCTTAAGACGTCCTGCAGATCGATTAGTCAGCTAAAAAGAGGCAAAAGATCTCAAAATTATTATGTATCGGGTTGTATCTGATTACAACTGCGCAGGAGTTCATGCACAAACAACTATTCATACTCAAAAGTACTAAAACAATGTAGTTATATGTAAAAATGCATATTAAACTCTTAATACAACTCATTCCATACCTTCATCTTTCTGCTGTCTCATATAAATTATTATAATCTAAAAAAAAAATTAGTCGACTAATACAGATATTTGGTCAACTAAGAAGACACCATCAACTGATTAATCAACTAAACAAATGAAGAAATAAACGACTAAAGGAATAAAGCTCTAACAGAGAGTTGCATTTAAATTTATCACTTGCATAAGGAATAAATTAAATCTCTAAATATAGAATACGGCTTGGAGAAGGTTGTAAATTTCCCTGACGGCGCCTGTAATGCTATTAGGAAACAGAAGATACCTGCAGCGTCAGCGATAAACTCTTTGGTCCAGTCAGCATCAGAAGCATCACCCAGAGCCACCAGGGGAGCGGAGGCCGAGTCTGACCCAGAGAGGAACTCCGCCGCCCAGTCACCCGAGAGAGCCAGGGCTGCCACGTCTGGAGCTAAGACAGTTAATCACACAAAAGAAAAAATAAGTCCACTGTGTACTGTACATCTGATTATAAAGCAACTGTCCAATAATCAGAACGTGTATGTTAGTTATTGTTAGATTTAATGTCTTGGCAAACCGTTTAAAATGAACTAGTTTTGTTTTTCATATTTTTAAGACAATAAAACTCAGGTAGAGCTCTTTAATCATAAAAAGTACCCCTTTGTGGCGCCTGTCTGTAGCTCTGTTGATCGATCTGCTGCATCTCCTCCAAGAGCTGTCCCATATCAAACGTTTGTGGCGGTCGTGGGGGAGCCTGGAGGAACTCATTCACCAGCTACAAATACAGAAAATAGAAAATGAAATGAAGTTCTACTGTATATACACATGAATACCAAAATACTTGAACAATATAGTACAAAAAATAGACAAAAATTTTATTCCAGGCAATGTTTGTCAGAGACTGGAGAGAATATGTCAAAATTTCGAGGAAAAGGTCTGCTTTTTAACAGACATTTTTAAGATACAATTACATTTAGGGAAAGATAATCAAAATAGTTTATGCATGGAGCCCAAAAGTACCTGCAAAGCTATTAAAACATTTAGCTGAAACATGCTTTTGGACTTAAAACAACAGCGTTATGGATTTTCTGATTAGCGTCCACAATGCCTTCGAACTCTTAATATTAGAATTTTTTATCTATGGAAAAACTATTTAAAATTTACTCCCTGAACCGGAGTGGACTTTGAAGTGGGTGGGATTGTTGAGCTCTATATCGTCCCCAAAATATCTGCAGAGCTTATCAGCCAAAGGTTGTTCTGATGCAAAAACAATCTGCACTGACCATGAAAAAAAAAAAAAAGCATATTGGTGGATCTTTAGTTTGTCCATACTGACCTCTTCCTCAGTTGCGATTTCAATAGGAGCAGGAGGAATCTGGAAAAAACAAAAACAAAACAGTTAAAATCATTTTAAATAAAAATTGAACCTTGGCCGCACATTGAGCAGACATGCAGAGAGCAGACCAAAAAAATCCTTTTTCCTCCATATGGTCAGTGTTTTATGAGCATTAAATAAATTTAATTCAAGACAGTTCGTACAGCTGTGTATTGTTCAACTTCAGTGCAATAATTTAGTTTCCTTATGGCAGAGAGGAAAAACAGATGGTCTTCAGAAAGATGTATCACAATTTTTAAGGCTAATAGCTATTGTTTTTAGCTACTTTTGAACTGCTCATGTGGCCTCTTGAATGGTTAGAAAAAAATTGAATTGCTTTAAAGTTTTAAACCATGTTCAGTATCAAACCATCACAAAATCTTTGGCACATCGTAGTATTTACACGCATGCATTTTGGACATGTGCACAGCTTTAGAACAGTTTTAATTGAGGATCTTTAATTTAAATAAGTCTAGTAAACAAAACTCAATAATCTAAATGACACATTATCACTAAAACTCACTGTCGGTGTGGACCGGTGTCTCCAGGCCCCGCCCTCTGTGGTCATGTGACCGGTCAGCTTCATCAGGGGATTGGACCCTCCACATTCTGCCTCCACCAAGTCCCGCATCGCCATGGCGACAGCTGAAGAGGCGAACCCCAAAACACCTGGAAATCAGAGATACCAGACCATATAAATACCATATTAATAACTGAGTCTGGTGGAGAAAACGGCATAGTTAGTTACATCATTTAGTTCTGTGACTACTTTTAATATCAATTAGTATCTAGGATCTCTTCTAGTATCTTTTACAGGTGTTTTAATTGCTTGAAATGACAAAAATATATAGAGAATAGAGGAAAAAAAACAACAAAATACACCTACACAGAAAGCAAAAGTTCTGAGCCACTAGACTGTACAACCCATTAGAGCTGCAAGATTAAACACAATTAGCAAATCGCAAAGTCTGCCATTTCTTAAGTACCATCATTTCCTCCAAATATAACAAAATACCCTGTCTTATTCAGATAGATTTTATTTTATTTTTTTAACTGTTAATCCTATAGTTTGGACTAGGGGTGTACCGAATATTCGGCAAACCAAATATATTTGACAGAATATTGCCAAAAAATAAAAAATAAAAGGTATATGCGGCTTTCGGTGAAGTGAGTTAAAAGTCAAATAGTTGCACGAAAGGCAATGACGCAATCAAACAACCTGCAGTGACAAGGTGATCTGGTGCCTTCCTTAAAATGCAGGTAGTGTGGAAATATTTTTATTAATATTCAGGACAATAACTCGTTTGTTGTTAAGTTTTTTGGAATTGTTTTGGTTCAAGGTCTAGCCTAATATGAATGAAAAACCTACTCGTATACTGGAAAGGCTACTGGAATATTTAAAGAATATTAAACAAACATTCAAAAACATGTCTAAAAATTTATTCTAGGCTATTTATGCAATACTTAAAAAAATATTGAAAAACTTAACAATCGCATTTGATATTCAGTTTCACTTTCGGCTACAAATTTTCATTTTGCATCCCTAGTTTGGACCTTTCCAAACATGTTGAAATGAAAAGCAAGTGATTCTAGTATTAGTTTGTTAGTTCATATTTCAGTCTTTTTGCCAATTTTCGTGGAAACTTTTAAAATGTGAAGCTTAAATCCCAAACCCTGGTAGTCCTGGTTTAGACCTGGTTTAAACCTGATGTAGTCCTGGTTTAGACCTGGTTTAGAGTTGATGTAGTCCTGGTTTAGTCTTGTTTTAGTCCTGGTTTAAACCTGATGTAGTCCTGGTTTAGTCCTGGTTTAGTCTTAGTTAAGTCCTGGTTTAAACCTGATGTAGTCCTGGTTTAGTCTTAGTTATGCCCTGGTTTAAACCTGATGTAGTCCTGGTTTAGACCTGGTTTAAACCTGATGTAGTCCTGGTTTAGACCTGGTTTAGAGTTGATGTAGTCCTGGTTTAGTCTTAGTTTTGCCCTGGTTTAAACCTGATGTAGTCCTGGTTTAGTCTTAGTTTTGCCCTGGTTTAAACCTGATGTAGTCCTGGTTTAGACCTGGTTTAGAGTTGATGTAGTCCTGGTTTAGTCTTAGTTAAGTCCTGGTTTAAACCTGATGTAGTCCTGGTTTAGTCTTAGTTAAGTCCTGGTTTAAACCTGATGTAGTTCTGGTTTAGTCTTAGTCAAGTCCCGGTTTAGACCTAATGTAGTCCTGGTTTAGACCTGGTTTAGAGTTGATGTAGTCCTGGTTTAATCTTAGTTTTGCCCTGGTTTAAACCTGATGTAGTCCTGGTTTAGACCTGGTTTAGAGTTGATGTGGTCCTGGTTTAGACCTGGTTTAGAGTTGATGTAGTCCTGGTTTAGACCTGATGTAGTCCCGGTTTAGACCTAATGTAGTCCCGGTTTAGACCTAATGTAGTCCCGGTTTAGACCTAATGTAGTCCCGGTTTAGACCTAATGTAGTCCCGGTTTAGACCTAATGTAGTCCCGGTTTAGACCTAATGTAGTCCCGGTTTAGACCTAATGTAGTCCCGGTTTAGACCTGGTTTAGAGTTGATGTAGTCCTGGTTTAGTCTTAGTTTAGTCCTGGTTTAGAGTTGATGTAGTCCTGGTTTAATCTTACATATTGAACATGTTGAAATGAAATTCATGCGATTCTAGTATTAGTTTGTTAGTTCATATTTCAGTCTTTTTGCCAATTTTCGTGGAAGCTTTTAAAATGTGAAGCTTAAATCCCAAATCTAATCAGAGCGCTTGTAAGAAACATCGCAATTAGATATTCTTCCCAAATCATCCAGCCCTACCACCCATCACATTAACAAGAGTTACTTAACCAAGGTGAAATCCCGAAGGTTGTCTGCACTCCAGTAACTGCATAACCCATGTCCCATCTGCTTCTTTCCAGGCCACTAATTTCTCTTACATAATAATTCCCCATTACTGCTGCTGCCACTTTTGTACACACATCAAATCAGGTTTCCTTTCAGAGCACTTTATGAGCAGTTTTAGTAAACGGTGCAGTTATAAACGCACTGGAAATCTTTAATACTTTCCACGTCCATATAGCCATTAATGTACCAGGATTGCATAATATAAAAATCCCTGCGTACTGATGACATTGAATCAGTCAAACTAAAAAATGAACTATACAGGTGTTCGTCCAGCGGGCAACAGGAACAACAGAGAAACTTGTAAACTGTGGAAGATTTAAGTTTATTTTATTTCCAAACTGAAGAGCAGATGTGTTCATGATTAGGGTCAAATACGTAAGAGGATTAGGAAACTATATTAATACACGTTATCAGACATAGGTCGTCTGAGCACACGCCGTACTGTTTACACTACAGCCACATTAATGAATTAATTACTAGAATTTGTTTTGTCATTCCAGTAAAGGCTTCACTGTGCAGCTTTTCGTTCATGGAAAGTGATTTTTATGCTTAGACTGATACATTTAAAGCCACAGAGGAATAATCTACATAGAGATAAGTCCCAGGTCTGATCAGATCTGTGGAGAGGTGAGCCTTATCACAGTAAGGAAGCAATATTTCCTCTTCCTCCTTTTGTTCTTTCAGCCATAAAACTTAAAACACTTGTAATTGAATAAACATATGTGTAGGGGTGTGCAAAAACATCTTAATATCAATATATCGTATCATTCAATGTGATGATATGGTACTGATATTCCAATCCAACTTTATTTGTATAGCACAATTTATAAACAAGACAGTTTCCAAAGTGCTTCACATAGCAAAGTTAAAAAAAAAACAGCAGAATTATGTTTCAACCATGAGGAAACTAATAGAATCAATAAATAAAATAATAATAATAATAATAATAATAATAATAATAAAATAAAATCAATGAACAAAAAATAATAAAATAAATACATAAAAGCAGTACTAAAAAATAAAATGGATAAAAACAATAAATAAATAAAAGACACAGAGGACCACACAACTCACGAGGTATTAAAAGCATGACTTAGATATTGGTCGCTGCTGTATCGATATATCGCCAAGAGTATTTTTTTGGTAAATTTTATTACATTATTTTGTTACAGTGCTACAGTTTTGTTGCTTGTTTAGGGGAAGGAAACTTGTTTATGCGACACGTTTAACATTTTCACAGTTTTGATGGGTAAAATGTTTGTGTTTCATATGAACTTTGCACAAGAAGTAGTTTATCAATGACTAGTCATTAATTTTTATTGAATCATATCGAATCAAAAGTGCACTATAAGGAGATATGTATAGTATCGTGGCCTACATATCGAGCTATGTATCGTATCGTGGCCTACGTATCGAGCTATGTATCGTATCGTGGCCTACGTATCGAGATATGTATCGTATCGTGGCCTACGTATCGAGATATGTATCGTATCGTGGCCTACGTATCGAGATATGTATCGTATCGTGGCCTACGTATCGAGATATGTATCCCATCTTGGCTTATGTATAGAGGTATGTATCGCATCGTGGCTTACGTATCGAGGTATGTATCCCATCGTGGCTTATGTATAGAGGTATGTATCGTATCGTGGCCTATGTATCGAGGTATGTATCGCATCGTGGCCTACGTATCGAGATATGTATCGTATCAGCAACTTCTTAATGATACCCAGCCCTGCATATGAGTACAAAAAAGCTACACTGTGCAACATTCCAGGTAAAAAAAAATACAATAACGCCTCCGTGGATACAAGCAGGTAGTAGATTTGGAAAGCTAAGTAAGGCTAAAATGAGTAAATACAAATATGTTATGATATTTGATGCATTTTGGAAGCCTGGCTGTAGATGTCAACAAAGCCTCTGAACTCTAAACAAGGAGATAATTCCGATCAAATTCAAAGTATGTGGATATAAATCAAGCTCAAAATGATAGATTGCAATTAAAAAGAAGAATCTACAGTCCATAGTATGATATATACAAGTCTGCAATACATTAGTCAAGCTTCATTTGCTAGCTTTAGCCTGAGGAGCTAGCTGCAATGAACCATGCACATGATATAACTCTGCTCGTGTTGAAAAAGACCAGACAATTCCGAGTTTACTATTTATTGAGAATAATACAGAGCTCCCCTAACCTGAGTTAATCTCCTATTGTCCCCAAACTAGCTAGACAATAAATTGGAAAACTAGTGTGTGCATGTTTGCTTCAGAAAAAAAAAAAAAATCACAAAAATTGTCACAGTGCACTCAAATGTGTTTTTAAATATTACTAAGAGAAATTAAAATATATTTGCACTTCCCAAAAATGCATTAAGTAAATAAATTCGTCAATGCAATCAAAGCTGGGACAAAAAGATGTGGAAAATGCTGATAATATTGTAGCATGGTTCTCACCTCACCAGGCAGGCGCTGCAGAGAAACCCCGGGTTCAGTCGCTCTTTCCCGGTGTGTTTTGGGTCGAGTCCCGGGCCGACCAGCACCGATCCGGTCCTTCTGCAGCGGCTCCGAGCGAAAAAGTCCTCTCCTTTTTAGCCTCTCTCTTCCATGACCCACAAACCTTCACTGTTTTTGCTGCTCGCCTGTGCCTCTGCCTGCTCGGAGTCTCCCACACCAGCGTCACGAGCGGGATTCACGAACACTTTTACGCACGGAGACGTCAGCGCGCAAGAGCCGCTTTTACGCACGAAATAACATGCGCAGCGACTGGGGGGTAAAGTCCAGCTGATGACCCCAGAAAAGACATAGTTTTGGTCACGGTGATCAGATTTCAACATTCTAAACTGGGACAGACCGGGTCAGGGGAGACTTGTGTTATTGCTTTTTTTTTTTTTTTTTTTTTTTTTTTGTGGTCATTTGCAAACAGTTTTCTATATTTTGGCTAAACAAATGGCAATTTTATGCTCATCTTTTCTATTGGCAGGGATCAGATTAGTCAAAAATGGTGGCAGTCCTGGTTTAAACCTGATGTAGTCCTGGTTTAATCTTAGTTTAGTTCTGGTTTAAACCTGATGTAGTCCTGGTTTAATCTTAGTTTAGTCCTGGTTTAGATCTAATGTAGTCCTGGTTTAGTCTTGGTTTGGAGTTGAAGTAGTCCTAGTATAATCTTAGTTTAGTCCTGGTTTAAACCTGATGTAGTCATGGTTTAGTCCTGGTTTAGAGCTGATGCAATCCTGGTTTAACATTAGCTTAGACCTGGTTTAAATTTGATGGATGTAGTCCTGGTTTTGTCTTAGTTTAGTCCTGGTTTAAACCTGATGTAGTCATGGTTTAGTCCTGGTTTAGAGTTGATGTAGTCCTGGTTTAGACCTAATGTAGTCCTGGTTTAGTCCTGTTTTAGAGTTGATGTAGTCCTGGTTTAGACATAATGTAGTCCTTGTTTAGTCTTGGTTTAGAGTTGATGTAGTCCTGGTTCCATTCTGGTTTAGTCCAGGTTTAGACTTGATTTAGTCCTGGTTTAGACCTGATGTAGTCCTGTTTTAATCTTAGTTTAGTCCTGGTTTAGACCTGATGTAATACTGTTTTAGTCCTGGTTTAGAGTTGATGTAGTCCTGTTTTAGTCCTGGTTTAGACCTGATGTAGTCCTGGTTTAATCTTAGTTTAGTCCTGGTTTAGACTTGATGTAGTCCTGTTTTAGTCCTGGTTTAGACCTGATGTAGTCCTGGTTTAATCTTAGTTTAGTCCTGGTTTAGACTTGATGTAGTCCTGGTTTAGTCCTGGTTTAGACCTGATGTAGTCCTGTTTTAATTCCTTAGTTTAGTCCAGGTTTAGACTTGATGTAGTCCTGTTTTAGTCCTGGTTTAGACCTGATGTAGTCCTGGTTTAATCTTAGTTTAGTCCTGGTTTAGACTTGATGTAGTCCTGTTTTAGTCCTGGTTTAGACCTGATGTAGTCCTGTTTTAATCTTAGTTTAGTCCTGGTTTAGAGTTGATGTAGTCCTGGTTTAATCTCAGTTTAGTCCAGATTTAGACCTGGTGTAGATCAGATTGGTCAAAATAGGGACACCTGGGACATGGTTTTAAATAAATCTGATGGGACAGGGGGCACTGGGCTCAAAACTGGGACTGTCCCAGGTAAATAGGGACATATAGGTGATCAGATTTTCAAAATTCTAAACTGGGACACACTTGGGTTGGGATGGTTGATGTAAATAAAATAGTGAAAAGAGCACGTAACATTGTCCATTCTCAACTCATTTGTGGGTCAGCCATAATCTGAGGGACTTCTGCTGTAACCATTTTCAATTACAGTTTTCTGTGTTTTATCTTATCAAATGACAATCTATCCCCCTCTTTACTGTTGGTGGGCAATAAAATGGTCAAAAATAAGAAACAACTGGGACATTTCTTATATAAAACTGGGACAAATCAGTGGTTTTGGAGAAATCTGCTGGGACAGAGGACACAGGGTTCAAAACTCTCAGGTAAATAGGGATGTCTGGTCACCACTGGTGCTTTTAGACTTTACCATTTCAATGATCATATAAATAATAAGCACACGTATCAAATTTAGGCGCAAATTTAAGTATGGTAATTCAAATGGATGGATAATAGTATTTTATATTTGGAAAATGACAGTTCACTGAGTAGCCTGGGCTGATCTGGGACAGTGTAAATACAAGATGAAAGAGTAATGCAGTTTGGAAAAGGTTTGATTTACAATTGGTCACTAGATGGCGTAAGAGGTCCGTGTCATACAGTGGGAAAGGTCCACCTAGTGATGGAAATGTGCTAGTGTCAGTATACACCAGTGTTTCTCAAACTATGGTAACACTGATCGTACTGGGCTCTCTGCTGTTTGAATGTTTTATATCAACACAAATCTATTCATTATTTTGCAATTTTGTCCTCATTTCAATTTCATTTAAATATAATCAATTAATTAACCTGTCCAGGGACTACAGGTGGAAATTAGTATTGGTGCTACAACCTGGTACAAAGCATCTCTCCTGTTAAGGTTAATGTAAACTGTGCACTGTCCCATTAAACTAACTAACTAACTAACTAACAAATTTGGGATTATAATTATTTATAAATGTCTTATCTATGGTTTAGTGTCGTTTTAGCCCTAGTTTAACCCTAATTTACCGTATGCCTCCCATAGACCTAGTCCTGGTTTAGATCTGGTGATACTCAGAAAGACAAACAACAATACATGGTGAAGAGTTTGAGAACCACGTCCATAAACTGCATATTGGGGGTGTAACGATATCTAAATCTCTCGGTACAATATTATCACGATACGCTTCTCACGGTATGATATTTATTGTGATATTTTCAAGACGTTAATATAATTGTAGATGGGACACGTTTCTGCTTTTAAAATACCATGACAAGATTTTGGTGTGAATAATTTTGTAAATTATTTAATATTTAATTATTATTATATTTAATATTAATTATATTTAATTATTTATTAAATATATTTCGTATAATCCCAAGAATTCAAGTAAAAAAACATATTTCTTCGTGTTGTTTGCGCTGAAATGAATCATGGGATATGTAGTTCCCGATGTTTATAAGCTGTTACTACTATAAAACAATGCATTTAAGCAAAGAAACTTGTAATTCAATGTATTGTGACAGCCCACGATGTTATTGTGAGTCTTTTGACGATATAATATCATGATATTTTGGTCACTGTTACATCCCTAGTGTATATAGAATAAGATTAGGCCTATGGTCTATGGTCAGCAGTATCAAACCACTCAATTATGTGTGGTCAATAGATTATGGATACAGCTAATTTAATGAGAGGCTATGTGTGGTCCCATAATGCATGTATTTGTCTTGTGGGTATTTCTTGAAAGTACAATGCATTTAATTAGAAGGTTTCAGATGACCATATATCGTTTTATAAGCCTATATAACGTCAAAACGCATAATTTTTAGAAAGATAATATAAGTTTAAGAGTCTTGTCACTAACAAATTATCAGTTTTTTTGTATTACATTCTTGAAACGTCTTTATTAATATATATTTCTCGTGTAAATATTTCTACTGTAACTAAAATGAATGAAATTGAGATGTCATATAGTGATTTTATTATGAATTTCGTAATGTTTTGACAGTTCTCATCAACAACAACTGGTCAGCATAATCCATCACCATCGCCACTGTACCCCTTTTCACTTCACTTTCCGATAGTAACATAGTTTGCTAATATAAGTTTATTTAATCAATGCAATGTTTTGTTCCTTCTTAACGTCACACTCAAAAACAACAGGCTTTTATTTACCGACGAGGTTAGCACTGCACATTGAGAGGCTATACACAGACATAACAGCAAGAGACACAGAGGGAGAGTGGAGGAGGGGGTGGAGAGAGGGAGTGAGGAGCACATAGTTTTACATTCTTATAACAAAAGATTTTCAATTTTCGTGTAAATAAAATTATCATAAAAATGTTAAATATAGCTTCAAATATCACCCGGTGAAAGATGGACCACGTGAGATGTACAGTTTTTTAGGCATCACAGCAAGTGCCATTTTCACTCATTTGTATTTCAAATATTCTTAAATTACAACAATATTACACATAAATTAGGTGACACTCGTAAAGCCGGAGATATCAACCTTATCACTACTACTATTATTATTTTATCATATACCTTTTACTGATGCTATTACAATGATTTCTTCTGATGGGAACAAAAATATAAAATTATAAACTGCTCTTTCTTAAATTGTGCAGATGAAGTATACAGACTGTCCGCAATAATAGTAGTAATAATAACATTATATAATATTCATCATTCTATGTACAGAAAATTCATACAATACAATCAAAACTGCCCAAGCTGAGCCTACATTCTGGATACAGCAGGGACAGGGGTAGCGCCATGGGAGTGCGATGCAAAAACACAAATTCAAATTAGTTAAAATGACTTGAAATTTACTTTTTTGTTTAAATTTAGATGCAATTACGCTACTGTATTTGCATTTTTTGTCGAATTTTGCTTCTCTTTAAGTAATTAAGGCCAGAAAATGTTGACAAATTCAAATACGTGTATCATGTATCGCATCTTTTCCATTTTAATATTTTATGTTAATTGGAAGAAGAAATTTTGAGTAAAGTGCAATCGAAATATTTGCTTTGGATTAACATAAAAAGTATGAAAAAGACTTAAAACATTATCTTAAAAATTGTCAACATTGCTTGTGTTTTTATGCTGAAACAACCCAGTAATTTTAGGTCATAAGTGATTAATCTCAACGTGTTAAAACTACTCGAAACTACTAAATTCAAGTCATTTCGCACCAATTTTGACGTTGTTTTTTGCAGCGTGTGTCGCAGTAGATTTGAAAGCAGTGTGCAGTCATAGTTGTAGTTCAGAAACAATCCACTGGTCATATGTGAGGAGTCAGAGGTTCCTTCGGTGGCGCGAGCGATAATTGGCCAAAAAGCCTTTTCCAACAAAGAGTGGCAAAGGCTAATGGAGCTACGCTGGAGCACAGATTTTTACTAAAAGCTGAGGTTTGTAGTTTAGTGACCTGCAATAATGTCCGCCATCATCATTTCACCAGGACTGTACGCAGAATATTCACACAGCACGGTCTATGTTTGACATGTTTTGGTTTAGTCCTGGTTCTAGTTAAGACCTCACTGCTTTAGTCCTAGTATAGATCTGGTT